TGTTATTACGAGGCATACGTGTAGGAGCTAATATTTACTGTCACCACGAAGGCTACAACGAAATTAGCGGTACTCAAAATCCTAACTTCCTTTATCAACCGTTATCGGTTGTTATCACTTTTGATCACCCACTATCCGTGTTCCCGTCCCATCCCCTATACCACATGTGACAGCCAAGGTTCCAATGTCACCGCGAAGGGCCGCAACGAAACTGGTGGTATCCACACTTTGACGCCCCTTATCAGTTCTAATCAGTTGCTACCACCTTCTTCCAATCACCCTTTTGGTCCCTGCCTCACCCCACATAATATTCATGAGTGCGAACATCTTAGGATCAACGCAAAGGGCGTTGCGAAACTGACGACGTTAGCATTCCGATGCCCCTTATCAGCCCTTATCATTTGCTATCACTTTCCTCGCCCCCATCACTTTCCTTCGCTCACCATTTGGGTCCCAGTCCTACCCTACACAATATTCATGAGTGCTAGCAATCCACTGCCAACGCGAACGGCGTAAGGAAGTTGGTGACATCGGCATTCTGACGCCCGTTATCAGCTTCTATCAGTACTTATCACTTTCCGCCACCCATCATCAGTGTTCACGCCCGACCCCCTATATACCCTAGAAGTTTGAGCGCTCTGGGATCAAAGGGAACGAAGTTATGAATTTCCGGTCAGACACACACACACAACCGCTTAGCCGATTATATATAGTAGGATTATTCAAATTATATTTATTATTATCAAAAGTGTATTCCTAAGCCATCAGTCGTGAATAGCGTCTCTTTAACCCTTTCCAGGCTGATTTTGAAGACATCAAGAGTCTCGCTTTCAGCACCTAATTTTTCGTTCACAGCGCTTCCAAAAGCCGACCCGTAGTGGTGTCAAACCCCTGTTGACCAGAGCAAAGTTCTCCAGGTGGAAAACTAACGGGGAGACCACTTGAAGTGTATCGGGAACAGATAAAAACCAAAGATGAATGTGTTACAGATCTCATACTCGATTAAATGTGCTCCGGTAGCCCTTGATGAAAATGTATAAATATTTGCAATAATCAACATACAGACACTCCATCATTTCCATCAAAGACCGTTTGGTCTCAGGACATCTGTCAACCGTGAGCCTTGGCGGTTCAGCGTTTTGTAGTGATGTCTGGGAGCTCTCACAAGTGCACACTATCACAGCATCTCCTCTTTCTTTATCTTCTTCAAAAGGCTTAGTCCCAATAAGACACAAAGTGTGTGCTTTTCCAGCTACGCTCTCACCCTTTGGTTGACAGAAGCCTTGTAACCAGACCGTTTCGTAAAATACTGAATTAGTGCCGTGAATAAAAAAAACGAATTGACTTGAAGGTGGGCTCGCGAGCAGGCGATACTAGTGTAGTGTCGCAATTCCCATACTGCAACCTTATTATGGTGCTTTCCAATGAGGTTTGTACTTCCTGAACTCGAGCAAACGACCGCATTTCCCAGTTGTAATTCTCTCCCCTTGTGATACCTCGGCTCTCACGTGGGTTAATACGTGATGGATAGTAAAGTCAAAGGCTGACAAAGAGGAGCGCTAAGGGGACGCGTGAGTGGCTATAACACTAGTATACCTTGGCGACTTTTAGGCCGCGTTCATAGTTCGCGACTCCGGAGAGTAGGATAGTGCGCGACAATGAAAAAGATATGTATTGACGGGGAGATTAGGATAGTAGTAGGTAGGATAGTAGTAGGCCCCGTTCATACTTTGAGAATCGGCTATTATGCGAAGATGCGATGATGCGACCAAGCGATTCTATCAAATGAAGTGAGTGCATATCGATTGACTCGACTCCGCCTTAAAGCGTCACATGCGAGATAGCGTCTGGATTTCAGCGATCGCGCGAGGCGAAGATGCGATGGGGCGACCAGCGTGGAAGGATTTGATACGTGCCGACAGATAAGATTCAAGTCTATGGATGAATCATTGATTGATTCCTGACGCGTCGCGGCGCGTGCGTCTCTTTGCGAACGTGCTACCAATCGCTTCTTCGCATAATAGCCGATTCTCAAAGTATGAACGGGGCCGTAGAGTAGGAGATTGCGCTGACAAGACTAGATAGCTATCGATTATGTTAGTGCGCTGACAAGACTAGATATGTATTGATCTATTCGCTTGAAGTCGCCCATCTACTACTCTCCAGCGATTTCAATCGATACGTATCCAATCTTGTCAGCGCAATCTCCTACTCTACTACTATCCTAATATCCTGTCGCCTACTATCTAATCTCCTGCCGTGAGTCGGCGAAGGATTGAACGCGGGCCTAACAAGTGTTATTATATCCAAATAATCGCCCCGGTGCGAAGATGCATTTGCAGTGGCTGCGCGCGAAATTTTCTCGAAGTGGCGAGCCACTCGCTGATTACCTCCGATCTTTCCTAAGTGCACTAAGCCATGGCGTTTCCCTCCCACTTCCTCAACTACACTTGCGCCCTTGCGCTTCCTCGTTGTGAACATTATCACTCCTACGATCCGTGTGGCAACAGCAGTATCAGAAAGCTTACCGTTTCGCCTGCTGGTTTCTGAAGCTGAACCTTTGACGCACCGGTCAAAGATGACGCATAGCGAGCCAGCAGCATCGGTCGGAGATAGTTGGCAGCGCGGCAGATTGACATTTCCTGAGCTGAAATTACGCGGAAATAATTTGCGAGTGATTCATATTCGAGCTACAACGTGAACGAGAGGTGACTCAACGAAACGAAAATTCCATAAGTTATTCGAATATTTTCCATGATTTTCAGTAGATCGGAGCTTTTTAGAAACGCGAAATGAACTGACCAGTTTCTAGATGAAGAGGTACGAATTGGTGAGGATGCACAGTAAACTATTCCGGTTAACATGTTTCCCACAGTTGACTTGTGGAAACGTGTGAAAACCACACAGGGCCGCCCAATTCAATTTGAAGCTCAGAAGGCATTCGAGCTGCACAAGGATCAGTGGTGCCCTATGGTCAAAGCCCGTGACCCGATGGATGCGTAGCGAACGGGCCGATGGGTGACACTAGGACTAAGCCTAAGGGAAGGGAGAAATGCCAGGGAGAACACAAATTGCTCACATTCTCCTCCGAAATCCCTTCCTCTAGGCTTAGTCGCAGGTACTGTTAGTGACTCCTTGTTTGAATGTCTCAACCCCCCCCCCTTCGTTCCAGATTCCAGGCCTCTTGTCAGACTATGAGCCTCCTGCAGCACTTTAGAGTCATATCAGTTATTTGGTACTTACAGTCGATATCCGAAAGTTGGGGTAGGTGTGGCACCGGAAGTGACGTGCACTTGATAGAAGTTGCGTGGAGCATGCTTTGCTGATATCCAGCGATGTATGTTGGAAGCAGCTTATCCACATAGCTTCTATCAAGTGCACGTCACTTCCGGTGACACGCCTACCCCAACTCCCGGATATCGAGTGTAACCTCCCCTTCAAAAAGCGAGAAAGTGTCGGGTGCAGACCAAACACCACAACTGACGACGGCCTCCAAGTAAATCTGGTTAGAAGTTGTTCATAGTGATAGCTGATTTCTGGTAAATGATAGTTGTAATTAGTGACAATCGATAGAATACAACTGCAACAGGCTAATCATTTCATTGGCAGAAAACATTAACATTTTGTGAAGGCCGTCGTCACTTGTGGTGCATGGTCTGCACCCGACACTTTCTCGCTTTTGAAGCAGGGTGAATATCGGTCGAGGAAATCCTCGACAGGGGGGTCGTACCTGTTGGGCTGGTCCATGGGGGGTCGTACTCTTGGGGTCAGTAACAGAAGTGGTATCATGGTGCAGATAGGTAATAGGGTATAGCGCAGCAGAAAATTAAAACATCCG